ACTCCATGCACTTTACCCATCTTATTTTATTTGATCCTCACAACAATCTGCAAGGTGTGTGGTACAGGACACAGGTTCTAGAAACTTCAGAAATTACCTGAAACTTCGCATCTAATTAATCAGTGATAAAATTGAGATTTGAACTCAGGGACGTCTGCCTGTAAAGATTAGTCATATACCTACAACACCTCACTGACTATCATTACACTGAAAACGTGTAAAAAGTGTTCTGAGCTCTTAACAGATATTATATAAAATATGAGACAAGTATAAGTGATAGATCTAGGCATTGGAAAGAATTCTCTCTTTTTTAAATCTGTAATGAGGACTCAATTGTTCATTTTACAGGTCCTTATAATAATGACTCAATATTCTTCCCTTTGTATTGTATGTGTTTTCAAACTGCTATTAAAGACTGTTGTTCAGCAGCCTTTGCATCTTTTGGCATTTTACTGCTAATGCTCTGCAAACCTGAACAGCCTAAGAAAATGCAGATGGTCCTATGGAACACAACCCACAGCAACATATGGTATGCATTTAATTCTAACACAGTGTGTTTCTTAACCTCTGGGTGTCGCTCCACCATTCCTTTATAAGGCTACTCATATCCAAGAAAGACTCCGTTTCCAAAAACAGAGCAACAGTCCCCACATGTGTTGTGGGCCATTCAGATGCATATAATGTGTCTGAATGCCTTTAAGCAAGTGCATTTAGCACATGTTTCCTGGTACTATCTAATGTGTTTATAAACTGCATCCCCCAAGATGGTAAGCCCCTTGAGGGCAAGTATCATGCCTGATATTTCACCTAATGAGCTGTACACGGCAGAGTAACAATTCTATCTGTCATGTATACAGCACTGTGCAACCTAGAAATTGTTCTTATGCATAAGACCCCTAACTACACTGTGACATTTGCTACATCTTCCAGATAAGGCTGGGTAGAGAGAGACTAAGCAATTAGCTAGAATCACAAACTAAGAGGTAATGTTTTCTCCTGGCCCACAACAGAAAAGTAGTCATTCCTTGTCTTGCACTACTTTATTTTTTTTCTTCTAAGATATTATTACAAGAATTAACACCTATTGATATTTTTATTAAGATAAATATCATATATTGCTTATATATATGTGTGTGTGCAAGGCATATAGGGCTTTACAAACACTAGCTCATCTAATCCTCCTAATATCCCCATGAAATAGATGCTATTTTATTCCCATTTTACAGATGAGGACACTGAGGCTCAGAGAGATTAATTCATCCAAACTCACAAACAAAACGAGTAAATGGCAGCAGTGAGGTTTGAATCCAGAAAGTCTGGCTCCAGAGTCTGGGCCCTTAATTTATTCTGCACTATTCTGCCTGAAAAAGAATCTACAAAGATCCTTACTCAGGACATGTGAGTGGTTGTTCAAGAAGGTGGGGAAATATGTGTTTACTCCTCCTTATGTGATTTATTTGATTATATTCTAAAACCTGTCTTCATGCCAATAGAACTCCATGTAAGTACTATACTAAATTTTCCTGTACTGAAGGCATATGCGATGGTTACCTTGACTGACACATAAAATACCCAAAACAAAATACCCCAAGACTTGAGGGTTTTTTGTTCTATGAATTAGAGACATGAAAGGATTGCCTAGGCATCAGAAGTGTTAGAAGCTCACATCTGTAAGTCTTTCGTGGAGATTTCCATATTTCTTATACAGGAATGTCCCCTGTCTGAAATATTTCGGTGTTCACTCTATATCTGAGTTTGAAAATTCTCCAATCCTTTTTAATTTTTAATTTTCAACTACTTTTTTGAGACACGTAGGACAAGCACTTGGTGTAATATGATGTTTAACACTTTTCATGTTTTTCTTTCAGTCAGTTTGAAAACATGCTAGTAAACATGCAAACATATTGTCAAGGTTTGAAATTCGGGGTGTGTATACATATATCAACAGGAGTTATGAATTATGTATATTCTGAGCCTATATAAATTAGATTTTGAAGAACAAGCATCACAGTACTCGGGCAGGTCATAATAAGAGATTCCATGTGAAATGTAAAAACTACCTTGAATAAATTATCCATAAGTTAACACCATCATTACAATGACATATTTATTTCTGGGTTTGTGATGTTGCTTTAATGCACTCTGACTGACTGTTGTAATGGCACTTCAAGAAACCATTTCAGATTCCCCTCCCCCCCAAGAAATTTAGCACACTTTATTTACATTTGAACTAAAATAAAATAATGTAACGTGAAAAGCAATCAGATACTTTCCAACGTAGAATACCGTTTTCTTCTGCCCAGAAACATCTAATTAAAGCAGGATATAACTTTAGTAATTATTTTCACACAGAATGGCTCTAAAATTAATAGTCAATTGTAAGACTTTAAAAATTGGGAGACTCACAATCAAAACAATCTTAAATGCTTTTGTTTATGTGATGCAAAGGACTGATCCTTTAATTCTCTTACACACATTAAACTGATTTCACAGACTTTCTGTGCTGGTGTTTAACATAGTCAAGTGCTTGAGGTTACATAGAATAAACAATCTTGAGATCTTATTGCAAATGTTTGCAATTTATGATGTAAACCGATTTGTGAAAAAATAACAGAATCCATGTCACTGAAGCCAAAAAGGCATTTTTCAGAAATCAAAATAGTTCCGAAATTTGAGCATTGCATTATCCTAAAGTATTACCATCTGAAGATCTACAAAGTTATAAGTCTGGGGGAAAACTCAAACTAGATATTTATCAGTTCAGCTTCAAGCAAAGGCCTCCGATTTTACCGGTCCTCTTGTATCCTAAATTCCTTAATACTAATGATATCTTGAATAATCTCTCTTAACTGGGTTTCCCCCAATCAGGGATTTTTGGAGCTTGGAAAGGTTTAGCACACCTTGAAAGATCTGGGGGAGGTGGGGGTGGAGGGAGTGGCGAAATGTTTATTATATATTACGATTATCGAATTTCTACCAAAACAACGTGCATGTTGGGCCCCATCTGAATTTGAAGCGAAGACTTCGGGAGCCTTCTCAAAGTGGCTCTGGAAACCCTGGGTTTGGAACCTCGCGGTCGCACACCCAAGCGCCTGCCGGAGAGTTTGGGCAGTGGTGCGGGCGGGAAGCAGGCCCGGCTTGAGCGTGCGTGGGAAGCTGGGCCCGAGGGACCCCGCCCCGCCCCGCCAGGAAAGGCGACCTCGGCCCTTGCTGAGTCTTGGGAGAGCCGACACCCTTGACGCGTGGGTCCCATAGGCCGCGCCCAGTTCAAGTACCGCCGACCCGGCCAAGTAACTTTGGCCTTTCTCGCTGGCCTGGACGCCTCCGCGGGCTCCTGGCGTTCCCTGCTCGGGCCGGGCCGGGCCCCCGCGGGCCTCGGCGCCGGGCCCTCCGAGCTCCGGCCGCCGAGAACGCTGCGAGCCGACCTAGGCCGCGCCGCCGCGCCCGGATCCTGGCGCCCCGGGCCTCGCCTGCCGGGGCGCAGACGTACCGCCCCTTTGACCTCCAGCTCCCCCCCAACCCTCCCCTTCCCGAGCTCAGCAGCGGGAACCGAGGGGCTTCGCGTCCGCCGTGCGGCCGCCTGGACCCGGGACGGAGCCGCTAACTCCCCCGGCTCCGGGTTCTCCCGTGACCTCCGACCTCCCCTGGGGTGCCCGAAGAAAGGCCCGAAGCCGCGTGGGGGCCGCAGTAGCGCCGGGGCTGGGGGCCTGCGGGGTGCGAGCCTCGGCCCCCGCGCGGACCGGAGCTCGCCGCCCGCCGCCCGCCGCCGGGCGCGGCGGGCGCGGGCGCGGCCGTTCCAAGCGCACCCCGCCCCAGGCCGGTGGTTATTGAGAACTAAGGTCAATAGGAGAGCTGTCAACTTGCCGACCAGGAGACTTGCGAGGCCCGGGCCCTGAAGAAGGCCCAAGTCCTCTTTAGTGGGCTTGAAAAGCCAAAAAGATAAACATAAAGTTATCACCCAAGGAGCAGCTTTGAGTGCGAGCTCAGCCCGGAGAAGGCCGAGGAGGGACGACGGCAGCACAGCTGGAACACGCGGGACTTTGTCCAAGGGGCGGGTGGGTCTCCCCTGCGCGTCCTCCGGGCCAGAGGGGCCCCAAGGGACCCTCGGGACACCCTCGATCTTCGCGGAGGATGCCCCCATCCCAAGAGCCCGTGCTGGAAGGGACGGTTCTGTCCGTGGCCGCGTCTTCAGTGTCGACGCTAAATAGGCAGCGTTTTCGGGTTTTACTAGTGAGACTTCATCCGGGAGAAGGGGTTTGGGGGAGGCGGGAGGAGGGAGGGGATCCTGGGTACCCTAAGGACCTCTGGGACCTGCTTCTCCTGAACAGGGTCCTTGCTTCTACCTTTTCCTAAATTAAATCGACGAAAAATCTGCTTGGGCCAAAGCGCTACACTGGAGAAGAGGTGGCCCTCCCTAGAGCCCCGTTCCCGGAGCTTTGTTTTTTTCACCCTCCTCCCAAACCTTCATCACTTGTTTGGGGCAGGGTCAGCGACCAGGGGTCGAGTGTCTGTTGTGCCACGATTAACCCAGGTGGATTTCGCACCGCGTGATGTCGCTTCCCTTTCTCCCCAAAATGTTCCCTGAAAAACTAGAAGGGTGTAAGTGCAGCAAAATGGAAGAATGAGAGTTTGTCTTGGGGAGTCTATTCTATATTATTTTACATATTATTTGTTCCTTTGTTGATTTGGTGTAAAATCAATTCGGTTTCTATGCTGGGTGGATAAAGTGGGGGAGGGGGAGGGGGAGGGGGAGGGGGTGCGCTCAGCGCTTTGGAGACCCACCATTCTCATCGCCTCTTAACAGAGGTACTTGGAAGCCGAGGCAAGCGCCTTTCTAAGTTGATGTGTTCGAGAGACAGATACGCTTTAATCAAAGAGAAGGAAAGACTATCCCGGATAGTTTAATAGTAACAGGAACAAAGATGACTCGAACCCCATCAAATGAAACAATACTATTTTCATTCAATTGATCGCAAAGTGTCTTCAATTAATAACTTGGCACTTATTTAAAAGGTTTAACAGAGGTGAAACCGAAACATTTTGTACCAACAACACATCATGAAATAACAGCATCTTCTTTTGTTTAAAATAACTTAATACACTAGAAAAAATATGGCAAATATAAATAACTTTGTTTTCATGGAGAACAAATAGTTACAAAGCTCAACCGCATACCAAAGTTCAGTTAAAAGAGCTTTTCCTCTTTCTTGTAAATTAGAAAAAAAAAAAAACACAACTAAGGAGGCTTTCTAGTGATTGGGATACAGGTTGCTTAGTCCAGGGTATCCCAGTTTAAATAGCTACATGAATTGAAACAAACAAACAAAATTACTTGAATATACACCTTTGTGAGATAAAATGCAAATGTTCAAAGTCAACCATCAGTTCACACATTATAGCCAAAATAAACTTTGTTCGTGTGTATCAACATATTTTACACAAACCTACTGCTTGTATCTAGTTGGGTGTTATTTAAGGTGAGTGTGACAGGATAGAGAGGGGGAAATAAAGCAAGGTTCTCAAATAGGACATCAGGAAATCAGCAGTAGGGAATACAAGAAAGGAGGGGGGAGGGACTAACATTGATTGAGCGCCTACTATGTGCTAGAAGCCCTGTGAGGCGCTGTACCTTTATTATTTCATTTGGTCTTCTTTTCTTTTTCCTTTCCCCACATTTTCTGCCCGCCTCCGTCTTCTTGGGACAGAGTGTTAAGTTTTTTTCCCTTCCGACCTTTTTCTTTTGTCCGACAGGATCAAAGACGGGGCAAAAAATATAGATTTGAGATATATCAATTTCCAGATGCTTTTGGTATTGTTTTTCATAGATGAAAACGGAGTAAGTGCACGTGAGTAAAGCAGGGAGCGGGGAGACACCATCAATGGAATACAAGAAACATGCAAAACCGGAATTTACTGTCAGCAGTCTGGACAGTGATGTTATAATTATTTCTCAGATAAATCATTGTCTGTGGTATCATTATTTGTATTAATATCATTTTTCTCCTCTCCTCGTTTGTATACTGTCTTCCCTCTTCTTACTCTTCCATGTGTGGTGGTTTTTAACTCAAAGCATCTGATTCAACGTAAAAGGAGGCCCGCCTCTCTTATCAAATTTCTTGTATTAAAGTGAACTTCGCAGAAAAAGGTCAGTTTCAAAACCTGTGAACTTCCCAGCTGCGCACTTTCTTTTTTTAAACCTTAGTTCTTTAAATAAGTATACCTCTTCCTTCTGTTTTGCCTTTTCAGCCCATTAAAAAAAACATACACTTTTTAAGTTGGTACCCCCTCCCCCCATTATCTCGACATTCGTTCGGGTGATTTTTCCATATTTTTAAATGTATAAAATACTTTCATTTCTAAATTTTGTTTCTGTTCCTTGGTTCTTTCTCCAATTTCAGCTTCCGCCAAATAGCGATAAGTTCCCTTTTTCTTTTTTTCTCTGGTTTGTCTTTTCTACTTTTTTTTGTTGTTCATTTTTTATGAACAGGATTTTAATTTCATCGTTGTTGCAGCTTTGCCTTGAGCCACACTCCGCTGTCCTAGCGCTCCCTCGTTCAGTCTCTCCAGACTTCCCGAAAACTTGCCCCTGCGAAGCCGAACTCTATGCCCTTGGGCAGGTGAACGGTCACGGGCGACGGAGCTGTTGCGCCTCGTGAAATCGAAGGTCCCGCGCGGAGTCTCGCCCTCCGAGTCCAAGTTGTGGAGGGGGGCAAAGGGCGATCGGCGGGGCGGGAAGAGGGTGGGTTCCAGAGGTCCGGACAGGGTAAACCGAAAAGCAGCGGGGCGTGGAGGGTGTGCAGGGTGCAAGCCGCGCTGGAGGCGCGACGTTGGCGCAGGGGGTGGCGTCACAGACCCAGGGCGGCAGCATGCTTTTTGGCTTTCAGTCTGAGATCGGCGATGCTGGAGTTCTTGCTGGTGGTCTTGGCGGCGGCGGCGGCAGCCACCACCGAGGCAGCGGAGGCTGAGTCGGCGGCCAGCGTGGCTAGCGGCAGTCCGAAGGGCGGCGCCGGGAACATCATGTAGGGCGCGTGCGCGGCCAGGTGCGGGTGCAGGTGGTGGTGCGCGTGCGCCACGGCGCTGTCCAGCTGCAGCTGCGCCTGAACCTGAAAGGACAAGGGCGTCACGTTGCAATGACTATCCTAGGGTGACAACAGAATAGAAACAGAGCATTAACGGCGTCCAGCCTGGCGAGAGGGAAGGCTGGGGCTAGGGACAGGAAAGGGGCGTTTGGCTGACCTCCTCAGTCTGTTACTGAATTTGCGATATTCCAGTGCGCCAGAGTCAGTGCAACTCGCTCAGCGCCTTATCTCCCTGGGCCTCGGGGGACTCCTATCTTGCAGGAATGTGGCCGCCCCCCTCAGGAGCTGGGCCCATCAGAGGGCAACATTGCAATTGTGTTAAAACATCACCCTTCTCAAAATTACAAAGGTAATTTGGAAAGGGTCTCTCGATGCCATCACACACCCCTTACCCCACTAAAGCACTAACAAATACTAACCAAGTACTAACAAGCAAACCGTAAAACTTTTCCTTGTCACTTAGGGAAATTAATGCATATTGATAACAATTGGCACAATTGTTAGTGTTTCTAACGTTCACTGCTGTAATGATCACCCTTGTTATAACGCACATCTTTTTAAAACGAAGATTCTGATTCAGACAGTCTACGTTGGGACCTGAGATTCTGCCTTTCTAACTATCTCCCAGGTGGTGCTGGTGCTGCAGGCCTGCAGATCACTTTCTGAGTAGTAAGGGTCTACTTTTAAGATCCCACTCTTTCTTTCTCCAATCATTCTCTCTCGCTTCAAAAGCCTAGTATCAGGATGCTAGAGTCCTGTGGTGCCCAGAGAGCTAAGATCTCCCTAACACTAACCGTCAATACACGGGTACACCCAGGTGTCTCCCCAGTCCAGGGTGCTGCCAACTGAGAGCTAATTCACGACTTCAGAGCCATACCAGGCAGGGGTCCTGGCTGAGGATGGGGAAGGTCAGGCTCTGGTTGGGTAAGGCTTGCGCCCTTAGGGTTGAAGAGCAGGGGCGTTTAGAGCACTGGGATTTCCCAGGATTAAATCATTGCTGTAGGCTGTCCTTTTAAAATGTAGTCTTAAAGGTTTCTTTATGCCTAAGAAACGGATTGCAGAGGCAGGGCATCCCTAGGAAGACCAAGGCTTCCCTCTCTACTAGAGATGAAGCTTTGTTAGCAGAGGTACCTTTAAAAAATCAAATCTGAGTTGGAAGTACTTTTATTTATTTACTTTTCTTCTGCCAGACACATTTAATGTGATTAAGGGGTAAGAAATACCTAGAAAAATATTTAGAAAGTTGCTTTAGAAAACACCTGAGGACTAACCTCTGTATTGGAGCTGACAAAATCTTAATCAAAAGGCTTTTCCTTTCTCTCCCCAAGTGCAATCTTTAGTGCATTTTTAAAGGACCGGTGGCTGGCCTCAGGCCCCTGCAGTTTTCCCCTGAGGACAGAAAGGACTAGACACATAGGCCCTTGACATTGTATAGTTGTTTTTTTTAAAAGGGAGAATCCACTATATCATCTCGAAATTATTCTTCAGCTGCATGGACACCAACATTGGGACTCAGAGAGAAGGTATATTCAACAATTCAAGGAAACATCCAGGTCATTTTACAGTTAAAAACAGGTTGAAGTGGGCTATACTTGCCTGCTGAAATGGCATCCTTAAAGCACCTACGTTGACATAAGGTGCAACTCTACAAGCTTCAAACTGGCTGGCAGCCCCTATAAGGACACCTGTAAAAAAAAGGGGGGGTGGGGGGGACAAAAACACAGTAATGTGAGGTTAATATTTCCAGCATTGTTTTCCAAGGTCCCAAATGATACCAAGATAGAATTAATTCCTCTGGAATTGGACTGTTATCTTCCTACACCTGCTGCCATAATTAAAATAAACACAATTTACTCCCAAACTTTAGGACTCTCATTAACTGCCTTCAGAGCAGATTTTTAAATAAAGACCATGATTATGTTTTAGAAGTTTCTTTCTGATTTTGTATAACAATATTACTCAATTCTCTTTTTACTTAGAATATCAGATTTTCTTTGAGAAGCATACCTTTATGGAGTTGATTTTCTTGTTTTCTACATTTAGCTCTTCGATTTTGAAACCAAACCTGCGAATTGGAAAAACAAAATAAAACCTAGATGTTATGAACTCAAACATTTTCTTTTAATTACCAGAGTCCAATGACAAAAGAGTAGTGTTTTAGTCAAAGATTAAGAGATACAGCAAGCAATATTTGAATTATAAAAAACACTCTCAATTTCCCAAGTCAAATAATGCAAGTGAATGACAAAAATAGATTTCATAGACTTTTGCAAGATAAATTGTTTCTTGATAAATTACTATTAGTCCTGGTTTCATCTTTCTACATTACAGAGTCCCCAAGGCCTAAAACTCTCCCTGATACCTGATACCAAAGTGATAATGGGTTTAGATGTTTGGCCAGTAAGACCTGAGAAGAATGTGCTCATTAATAGCCTGTAATATTAATTAGCTTTATCTTCAAGAAAAACCAAACACCAAAGCAAAGAGTGACTCTGGGTTTTTTTTTTGGGGGGGGGGGGGAGATAAGAGTGGGGGAAGAGGTAATTAGTGTCATAAAAGCCTCACTACAAAGAAGTTTAGGATTTCTCTGTTCCTCTGTGCAGCAGAGTGTAACACAGTAGCAGAATAATTGTGCCATTATCATGATAATCTAATTTGCTTCTATAGAAAAAGCTGTTAGGGTAGTAGAGATGCATCCAGAAAATAACCCTAAAACTTAAATAAAAGTATGAAAAAAATAAAGATCAGCAATAAAGTTCACTTCTTATGAGAAAAAAAGAACAATATGCTGTGAAAAGGGAATGGGGTCTGAATCAAGTAACTCCTGGATACTGTCTTCTCCCAGATATTATCTTCTTAAATAAACTTGCCAACTTTTAAAGGCAGTATGACAGATTTTTAAAATTTCACATAAAGCTTGCTTTTACACTCCAATCATACAGCATTATGTTCCAATAATACAGCATATTGACTGATTCACAAACTAAGGTTTGAAAAAAACTATAAAAGAAAAATACGGCTTCAGAGATTTTTCTTGTTTTTGAAAGCCAGTGTCATAGTCAATGTAAATCTTCAAAAATTCCCCTGCCATTTAGTATAATAGAAGGGTAGATTTCATGCCAGGGTGGCATCCTTTGTGTAACTCACATGGCCTGAGGCTTCTTGCCTCTTTTTTCCCCTAGAAGAGTTGGAACTGCGATACTAATGCTCATAACTGTAATAATTATCAGCATGTCTTTAAGGGGTTGCTGAGTCTCTAGAGATTTCAGTACACACAGCAAAGCAGGAGAGGCTTAAAAAGGAAGAGCAGAGCCTCTATTGACGGCTGTGATGACCAAGGCAGCCTATTATTACTTTTCCCCTTCAACGTGACTGCTCTGTTTTTGTCCTGATCCTATTACAAGATGCGGGGAAGCCCCATAAGAATTGCATAGTTTGCTGCAGATGGTGGTCTCTGCGCCCAGAGATCCTGGGAGTATCTGTTACAGTGATACTTTGTAACAGCTGCAGATGTTCAGGCCTAAAACTGCTCCATGTGTTCAAACAAATAATGACCCTCATTTTCTCCTATTTTTATTATTTGAGCATAAATAGGACAATCTGAAACATTTAAATGTTTTCTCCATAAAACTAGGATGATATGCATGCATGTATATAATTTTCCACCTTGAATGCCCCCAAAGCCTATTGCCTTTATATTCACCCCCGCAACCAGTAAAGAAAACCTGCTCCAACCCTAACTCCATCATGTAAGCACTTGTTGGGTGTTGGACTTTGGGAACGCCAGTATTAAGATATTTGAGTTGTTTTAATATCAAGTTCCTGTAGGTTCAGGTTTGCTGCCTTGGTTAGGTGAAGGAACAAAGAGTGACCAAAATGCATTTACTGCTCTACTGTTTTACACACAGTTTGAGATCGACTGCTAACGGCAAACTGTAAATTTCCGCACTTAACAGTTGCTAATTTTCTTTATAGTCTGTACATCTATAAACCTAATTGGCATATCCGCTTGGCAACCCTAGACCCCGGAGCAGACCCTCAAGGAAAACCAACTCAGGCGAACAAAATATTCGTTGTAACTTTTAAGGCATCCAGAAGATAAAACGTTTTCTGTGGGATTTTTTTTTAAGGCTTATAAAAGTAGGCCCATTAGGATTAAACCACATTAAAGGCATCGTGAGGCGAGGGGGGGTGGTGTGGTTTATAGAAACTCTGGGAGCAAGCCCAGCACAGCTTTCTTCTGCTGGGAACATATGTTGGGATAGGGTTATAAGACTATAAGATTTACTTTGGAAAATAGGACCTCTTTAAGGCTATAAGACTGAAGATTTACTTTGGAAAATAGGACCTCTAGTAAAGGTATCCTTTCCCTTCTCGCCTCACCCAGGTTCTTGAAACCCGCTGCGCCCTAGGTGTGTGTCCCCCAAGCTGCCTTTCTAACCCCACGCGTGCCCCTCCTCCATTTCTTTGGCCCTGCGTTGACATCCTCACAGTTAGGTACCTGCACTCGGGCTTCGGACAGCCCCAGTCGTTGGCTCAGTTCCTCGCGCATGAAAGCGTCCGGGTAGTGGGTCTCATCAAAAAGCCTCTCCAGTTCGTTGAGTTGTTCCAGAGTAAAATTGGTCCGACTTCGCCTCTGTTTGATTTTGGTCTGGCCTTCGTCCTCCATCCCTTTTGCATCCTCTTTTCGATCCTTCAGCTCTGGGGACACTGGAGAGGGCACCACAAGTAGGGCCACACGTATGTCCACGTGCGCACACAGAAACACACACACACACACACACACGGACAAAAACAACACAGCAAATCCTGTCGCCAGACTTGTCTCCAAAAGGATGGAGGATCCTGCCCCCTCCCGGAGTTCCTGTCCAGTGTCTCACCCTGCCCCGAGGAAAAGGATTCTGGAGACGTGAAAAGATCAACTCTGGGTGGCCGCCTGTCCTCAGCTATTCACCCCAACCCTCCGCAACCGTAGCCTACTCACCTCCTCACTGTCCACTCCACCGTCCCCCGCCCTCCGCCGCGGACACCAAATCCACTGCACTCACCCTCCCTGGCACTCACACGCTCCCCAGCACACCAGAAATCAAGAGCGCCGCGCCCGGCCTGGCGCAGAACCGGGTCGGGGCAGAAGGGCGCGGCGAGGCCGCGCACTGGCCTCGCACCCGCTATGCCCAGAGCGCTGGACCGTTTTCAGGCCAGCTCTGGCCGCTGCTGGCTCTGTTTCTGTCAAACTTGCTGCTCTAATTTGGGAACAATTGGGCCCAAGGGTTGCGGCGGCAGAACAAGACACGGGTGCTGCGCGGCACAGGGAGCAGCATCTCCGGGCTTTCGGAGGCAGCCCAGGGTCCGAGCCAAACGCTGCGGGCAGCCCATGGGTGGCCCGGCAGTCCTTACACCCCACGCCAGGTACCGGACGCCCGAGAAGAGGTGCCCACGCCATGTTGGCGGCCTGAAGAGCTCGCCGCCCACGCCAGGCCAAGAGGCGACCGGCGGAGAACCAGCCTCCGGTTGCGCGCGAAACAGACCGCTGCTTCTGTTCTCTCCTTCTCCCTCCCGATTGGAAAGATAGACTCGACCCTAAACGCTTAAACCCACAGAGATCAACAGGTTCAAGCGGAACATTTGTGATCCTTGGTTTCTATTGGTTGCTCAAAGCCTTTTCATGCATCCAGCAGCTCGGTTGTTTAATAAAATATGCATTTTTCCTTTCTGGGTTTGCACACACCGTTGCTACTTTACTGTCCTTCCTTCTCCTCCCTTTAAAAACAGGAGCTCTGCGAATGTGAGCATACAGAGTCACCCAAGGAGTACATATATATATATATATATATATATGTGCCATGGGGCAGTGATTAGGAGAGCCCATATCAGCATAAGCTGCCCTCTAGAACCTTCATCCTCGGCGCCTGAGTCGGAGCCTTGGGTTTTTAAGGTGTCAAAGCTGAGTTTGGGTAGTCGAGGCTGTTTGCAGTTCTTCCTAGCCCAGGAGCCCGATCAGCACGGGTGTTAAAAATAATTTCCGGAAGAGCCAGGCTGCAGAGAAATTAATACTTGTCCTGAGCTTGGAAATCAACAATTCCAGGACTACGTCTGCCCGGCTTGTGACCCTAACCGCACGATGCGGCGTGCTGGGGTACCCTGGGCCTGGAGCTGCCGACTCACTCGGGGAAGCCTGCACTGGGCCGCCCGACAGTGGTGCTATCACTTTTCAAATTCAGGAGGACCTACGGGCTGGTCTCGGGGAAGAAGAGCCTCTAGATCCCAGCCCAGTCTGCCATTCTAGCTACGGTGATTTTAGGTGTTGCCCGCATTTCTTGTTCTCAGAGTTCGTTTTATGGACATTTGTCCTTCCACTGGGGAGGAAGCAGATAACATAGCAAACATTCGGGGCCAAGTTAATAAGAAAATATTTCCACTGATATTGCGATGAAATTTAAATACGAAAAACACCCTTCAGATTCTGCCAAAGGGGTGAGAAAGGCTTTGTTTGTTTCGTGTCATCCACAGTGGATGCCTCTCAAACTTTTGGAGCTTCAAAGAGAAAGATGTCCACATTTCTAGTTGATTAATAGACTTAATATAATCACGATTTCGCCCCCAAACGTCCATTTATTGGCCTAAACAGGAACAGACCGTGTTATAAACAACTTAATTGCTTGCTTAAATATGTGATTCTACGCATGTCACATATTTTCTTAATTGGAAAAATATGGCAGCACACCAGTTACTGCAGGCACCAAGTGCCAAATTAATTTTATTGTTGAACTCTTTTGAATTGGTACAGGACGCGCCACCATTTAGATAAAGCCATTTCCTAACACTTTGCTGGCAAGAAAGGATTCCCCCTCCGCCTCCAACAAAACCAGAGATGATTCGAAACAGTAATGCAATTGTGTAAATACCGAAAACCAATCCCCCCTCCCCCCAAAAAAAGGGAGCCTAAAGCGTCTCCGGAGAGAAACAGCCTAGCCTGGACCTTAGCCTGTTTCAGCCTCGTTCGATTTTAATAGCTCAAAGAGAATGGAAGTTTCGACCTCCCGGATCCGAGGATCCGGGATCTTCGTGGAGTTCGAGTGGATCTTAGCCGTGGCCCGAAACCTGGGGGTGAATCCAGGGTGATAGCCCCTTCGTTCTCTCTCTCTCTCTTTCTGTCTCTCTCTCCTTCCTCTCTTTTCCTTTCTTTCTCAGGCCTAGGAAAGGGACCCCCGCAAACTCGGCGCGAGATGCTAACCAGAACCCGGCCGCCCGGCGCGGCTGCTGTCGGCGCCCCCCGCGGCAGCCGGGCCCACCGAACTTCCCCATCCGCCCGCGGGCCGTCTGGGCTGCGGGCGCAGCCTCCGGCCGGGGAACCGCGCTTCAGTGGAATGGGAATAGCGAGAGCACCCGAGAAGGGCGCGCGCAAACCCCACGCCCCCCCCCCCCACACACTCGGACCCCACCCACGACCGTGCACACCACCGGACTCCCACCCCTCCATCACCACTCTAGCTTCCGAAGCCGGGGTCCGAGGGCCCGCTCCGCGTCCCGCCCCTCTCCCCGCCCGGCCGCGGAGTCCTCTCCCGCCCGAGACGAGTCAGGAAGGCGGGAAGGGGACCCGCCGCCGGGGGGCTAGGCCGTTACCCTCGGTGAGCCGCGGGCTGCCCGGCTCCCGGCTCCTCTCCGCGGCGCCCATGTCCAGCTCCCGGACGGGAGAGCGCCCTCCTCCAGCGCCTCCGCCTGCTCCTCCTCCTCCTCCTCCTGCGCCTCCTCCGCCTCCTCCGCCTCCGCCTCCGCCTCCTCCGCCGCCGCCGCCTCCGCCGGCCGCCCGGACTGCCGGGCTGCTGCGGTCGTCGCGGCCGGGCTCCGGGCAGCCCGTCGGCTCCTTGGTCCCGCGCAGTGGCCCGCTCTCCAGCACCTCCCGGTACGTGATCGCCTCCTTCTTCTCCTTCACTTTCTGGTCAAAAGACTTCGAGACGAACGCCGTAAGTTCTTCCATCGCCGCCGCCGCCGCTCAGCCCCGCGCTCACCCTCTCCCAGCCGAGCCCCGCTCTTTTTTTCCTTCTTCTTTTTTTACTGCTCCAGCCCCCCCAATAATAACACATCAATGGGGCAGGGGGTGGGGAAGGAGCTGGAGGAGGAAGAGGAAGAAGAAGAAGAAAAAGAAGAAGAAGAAGAAGAAGAAGAGAAGAAAGAAGAAAGAGGAGGAGAAGTAGGAGAAAAAGAAGTGAGAAGAGGAGGAGGAGGAGGAGGAGGAGGAGGAGGAGGAGGAGGAGGAGGAGGAGGAAGAGGGAAGGGGCGGGGGCCGCCGGAGGGAAATGGGAACTGATGCTTCCCCGCCGGAGCGCGCTTGTTCGATGTTAAGATCTTTGACAATTCTTCCTGCGGAGAGTTCAGATCTGATAGCAAGGCTGCGCTTGAAGTCTCACTATTTATACTTCGCCAAGGCAGCCCCTTGTTCTGAGTAAATTACCTCCCCTTCGCAACTCGGAGGGAGCCCCTTCCTGGGGAAGCAGCCGCACCACTACCTGGGGGTGGGGGAGGGGGGTTGGGAGGGAGGGAGAAAGAGGGAGAGAGAGAGAGAGAGAGAGAGAGAGAGAGAGAGAGGTTGAGATTGACCGAGGCCGGAGTCCAGGCTGGCTGGAGCTGGAGTGGGGGGGCAGTGAAGGGGACGGGAGGGGGCGGGCAGAGGAGGCCGGTCCCAGGCCGTCCGGGTTTTCAGATAGCCTCTGCCGCCTGTGCTCTTGGCCATTAATCCAGGGTTGACGAGAATCCCTAATTAATTTAATTAGGCGTGGATTGTGCGTTGGTGTCACGATTCACTTAAACACCGGGGAGCTGGAGCTACTCCGCCGGGGCGTGGCCAAGCGGAAACTGACAAGTGCGCGGCCGCCGGAGTCAGTCCGGTGCCCGGACTCCGCAGCCGACCCTCCAACCTCTCACCGCGTCAGGGTGCTGCGCCACGGCTCCGCCCCGCCGTGCAGCCGGGCGCCCCGGTTCCGTGTCCTGACCCTGGGTCCCAATCCTGCGTCCCCGCTCCCCACCCGCCCTCCAACCCACACCGCCCGGCAACCGGGGGTCACAAGCTTGCTCAGACTCAGGGTCGTCTACGGCGTCCCAGACCCGCGCGGCTCCTTCTAGGGGCTTCCCGGCCTGCAGCGAGAGCTGAGCCTGGATCCTCACTAAGCTTCCCGCCCCGGGGAGTTTGTGATTCACCCCAATATTCGCGTCTCAGAGCCCCAGCTGACACCTCTACGGACAAACCCAACTCGGGCCAGTCTATTTAACGCGTTTCCCGAGCAGCTATTCCCTGACAGATTTCATCTTAAACTGTTTCCTTAGCTCCTGGTCAAGGACAGTTTGACTTCGTTCCCTCTTTGAGATCTCAGGATCCTCACCCCTTCTGCCTAACAACTCTCTGCACTCGGACCCTTCCCAGAATAAACTACGGGAGTTATTTTTTAGCATCCTCAGAAACCTTAAAAATCAACAGTAGTTAACTTCCTAATTTTGAAAAGCAAATGATTGTCCCTCTTTGACTTTGAAAAAAATTCACTTTGTTTACCCCCATCTAATTTTAATGTTATTTATCGTGGACTATTCAAAAAGAGAGGTTCACCGAGAGAAAGGTTTCTCTCTTTCTCCTTCTCTCTCTTTCTCTGTCAAAGCTACAACTTAAAATTCTGTTCCTGGACTATCTTCACCGAAATAGTTTATTATATGGAAGGAACTTCTATATTACTGAGTCATTTGTATTGTGCAGGACAAAGCTTGCTATGTGGCCATATATATACACATATATATATTATATATAAAACATGGAAAGTTGTATATCTCTTCAAGTGTGGCTTGGGGGACATTTTCAAGTAGAATGAATATTAGTGCAGGTTTTCTTCTGATGTTAAAGGTAACGTTCATCTTCTTGGATCTGATACTCTCAGTAAAGATAAAAGCAATTACAGAACTTTGATATATATAGTTCCGCCCATCATTTAAGTCATGAACACAAAGTTAACATAATTTGAGAACTATCGTCAAAGCAACTTGAATCATTTGTAAAAAGAGAACACAGTTATAATGTAATATATTAGCAGTTCTAGAACATATACAAATAGATTATCTTTGCCATACTATACTACTCCTTAGATTAAAATGTTCACTCTAGTGAATTTAAGGAAAATGGAAATAATACTTTTTGGAACTGTCACTTTTCCTTTTTTTCTCTTGAATTCTAAAGTTGTCTTTTGTTCTTCTTAAAACATTTATTGCTGCTTTTAGGAGAAATAATTAGGACCTTTAAGTTTTCAGTAGCAATAGTTTTTAGGCATTAATGAATTATATGAGTGCTTGCATTTATTTTATCACACTACAAAAGAGACACAAATACATTTTCCAACGTTACATGAATTTAGAACATGAGTATACATTCAGTCTTGGTTTGCTATTTATAACCATTTTAATTCTGATATTGTCAGAGGGGAATAACTATAAAACTTTAATCCTTTATGAAAACCCATTTTTAAGGCTATTTAGCAGAATGACCAGTTATGGGGTCAGCTAAATGGATGTCTTGTTCAGAGCTCTGCAACTGAAGTGTTAAAAACGTATTCACAAACAGTTCCAACATAGCGACTATTAGAAGTCTGGCAAAGGATTAGGAAACTCAGTAGCTACTTTTAAAATTGCATCTACTGAGGTTGAGGGAAAATGACCACTTTAAAGGTAATCAGGGAATGCTCAGACACCAAATAGATATTCCCACAGATTTTACTGGAATATTGACTCTTTGTATATATTTAGGAATAGTGGTGTTGATACCAGATGGAGCTATGAGAAATCTGCAGAGTTTCATCACAGATGTCCACTGGCCCAAGGGAAGTGTAGTTAAACAACAACAACAACAACAAGGTATTAAAATCATATGCTAATAAATGTTCATGATGTTTAATTATGTTATTTCATTATATGAAAATATTTTCTGGAGACAGGATATTTCAAAATATAGTTCTGGTAAAAAACACTGAATAAAGTTCAGTTGACAGCCTGCAGACAGATACACAGGTTTCAATAAAATTCAGGACCCCAAGGGTCCACCCAGCTCCTGAATTATTTAAAATAAGCATGTGATGTAGTAGTTAAGTTTTAAAACGTCTTCTCAAAATTGGTTAGTTAAGGTACAGTCATTTATGAGAAATATATTTGGGGAAGTGCTGTCCACTCTCTCAAACCGTCAGCCGGAAAACTAGCTTGGATGTCTATCAGTTGTTGTGAATGAGTTGGTTCACAGTCGACCCAAATCAAGGCCAAGAGTTTATTCACTTTCTTACCGTTGATTACAGATAAATAATGTAGTAAGAGTTAGAGAAAATGCTGAATCGCTGTAATTTCTATTGGTTTAAATAACAGTAAAACCCCTATACATTTAATTTCTTTCAGAAGAAACCTCCACTCCTTGCCTCGGGCAGGCTTCTCCCATTCCTCCACTAACCAGTTAACTTTAATGTGAGAGAGTAATTTGCACCCAACCTGTAAATGCCTTCACCTTCAGGGTAGAAGAAACTCCGATTTTAATGCATTTTTGCAAATAAATCATTACAGTTTAATCACACACGACTCTATACAGACACACTCCCATGATTTATTACCGTTGGGCTAGTTTCCTCCTCCCCCAGCGTGAGATAACCAATTTTGCTACGTGTGGTGTCTTACACATAACTTCTACGATGCAGATTTGTTTACTGATTATCTAAGACGATAACGACGATTACTAAGGCAATAATACTCTTCAGTCTCCACCTTTATTGCTTTTGGGGAAGAAGAAAATCAAATAAGCAAGCGCGCAAACCCAACACCAAACAAAAAATTGGCGGCGCGACGATCTAGTCCCTCGGCGCTCCTCTAACTCCTGGTAGCCTCTATCGATGTACTCGAGAGCTCAGCTGGCGCTGCCTGGCGCCAGAACCAGGAAGGCGGTGAGCTTAAACTAAAGCAAGTTCGGAGGACGCCGGCGGCGCCCAGATTTGAAGGAACGTTTCTAGGTCTGCGGCGCTCTAGGTCAACGCGAAACGCGGGGCTGAAGGCCAGGACCCAGGTGATGCCCGCATCTGTAGCCCGGGAGGCGGTGCCTGCGGGTGCGGGGTTCCGAGGCCCTGCTCTGGCTTGAGGCGGCGCGGGGCCTGGCGCAGTCCGCGGAGAAGGCGGCGTGGAGTGGGGGTGGAAGGGGCGGTGGTGGCGGCCGCGAGGAGTGTGGGGCGGCACAGTACGCATGCGCCCCACACCTGGCGTTTTGTGACCCTTTAGGTCCAAGCTGGGGCCTTCTGGTGGCGGGTGGCTATGGGAATAGTGTGCGGTCGCAGGCCTCAAGCTAGGCCCCTGGTCTGGAGGTGGTGAGGGAGAGTTACCCAGCTCTTCGTCCCATTCCTTCTTCACTCCTTATCCCTGCCACACCTCCTTCTCCGTGCCCAGTCCCTGGTTCTAGATCACTGCTTTGGGTTTCTGTGGAGTTGCTGCTTCGTCACTAGCTCTAGGTAGGGTGGAGCGAGAGGGAGGCTGCGACCTGGTGCACTGTGCCCCACTCACTCTGCTGTCGGTACTTTAGATCCACCTCCTCTTTCAATATCTATCCCCCTTCCTGGCTCGCATTCTTGCTGAGGTGAACTAGACTTAACTTTCTTAACATATAAATGTATTTGTCTTTTTTCGCCCTATTTTCTTGACTTCAGAATTTGTGGCCTTGTGGTCGTAGACTAAGAGCATATGGCTACCTTTAAACTCTGTTTACTTTGGTGAACGGTTATAATGCACTATTCATAGATGTTGCTGGCTCATGATTTTAGGTCAGTCTTAATATAATTTCTGTCTCAGAGCTTATATATCTTTAAATCTACATCGCAGGCCTCAATTTTTGTGTTGTTACTGTGTTTTTAGAATTAGCACTAATTAGGGGCGCCTGGGTGGCTTAGTCGGTTAAGCGTCCGACTTTTGCTTGGGTCATGATCT